TTCCAGTCTTCGTGATGGCACGCAGCTTTGTCAGGCCTACCAGCGCAATCAGTGCAGCACCAAGAAGAACTGCCCACGCGGGGCACACCGCTGCGGAGTTGTGTTGCAATCAGGACGGGTCTGCGGATCGTACCAGCACTCGCCGTCCGGATGCCCCAAGGCTGCTTGAAAAGAGGGCCGCTCCTCTGTTGGGGGGGGGCGAGGCCAATCTTTGGACACTCCTGTCTTTCATGACTTCCGTTCATTTTTGGCCGAGTTGGAGTCCATTGATATGCACCAGACTGAAGCCTCACCCTGCCCCGTCCTCCTTGATGTGTTCAGTGGGGTCCATGCACCGTTGTCCAAGGCCTTCTTGTGGTGCCAATGGGAGATCATCACACCGATTGACATCGAGATCGACCAGGACCTGGACGTGTCGCGTCCGGCGGGGCCCGTCGGGCTATTCAGGCTGTGCTTCCTCGGGTGGCCACTATTGCGGGGGCTATGAGTTGTGCTACCAAATCAAGAGCTAGGGAGAAACGGCCCGGTCCCCCTCCTCTACGATCTGAGGAATACCCACGGGGTCTACCAGGACTGGACGCGGGACAACAGGCACGGGTCGATGCTGACAACTACTCCAGTGATTACCTGTTGGCCTTACAATACTGGGGGCATCAGCAGAACATCGCATGTCTCCGCGAGAACCCGCTCAGGTCTCTGCACTGGTGGGACCCGGTCGAGCAGTACCTGTGCCAGGAGGATGATTGGCAGGATTTGGATTATGATGCATGCGTCTTCGGAGGCGCTCGGCGCAAAGCCCAAAAGTTCCGCCACAACATCCCCGAGTTAGCCTCCCTTCCGGCCGTTCGATGTGGACACATTCATGACCCCAACGAGTGGCGCTCGTCGGGTAATGGGCAGTTCTCCACCTTCAACGAAGCGGAGTACACACCTAGTTTGGTCTTCACCCTAGCAGTATGCTGCACGGCATGGGCTGCGCGAAAGGGCTACGGCATCCTCGCCATCCCAAGGTTACCGCCCATCAACACCTCAGGGGAGGTACGACCACTGCTCAATTTCGAGCCGTCCGAGCTGCGAGAAGATCTGATGAATGTCATGGGTTTCCACCTGGGCCTTACACCACCACGAGAAGACTCGTCCCATGTGCCCACTCGCCAAGTCGCATTCGATGTGTTACAGCTGAGGCCACAACTCACAGACATGGACGTGTACATCGGCCCCGAGCATTTCTCCCATCGTTGGCCACTGACACAGTGGCAAAACCCCTTCCGGACAGGGGAAGGCAGGACTGCTATTGAGAGTGTCCTTCACTACGCCAGATGGATCGCCGACCAGGACCATCTGCTGGCTGACCTCCCATCCCTACATGGCAAGACTCTGGTGTGCGACTGCCCCCACAACGTGCTATGTCATGGAGATATCATTCGCGCTTTGGTTTGGACTACTTCACGTCCTACTTCGACCTCAGGCCACGCCCATCCCGCTAGGGAACAGTTGCGACGGGTTTCACTCATTGCTGCCGGCGTTCGCCCTGCCAGGGCAGTCCCGCTGCGCTTCTCTCAGGAAATTGTGGTGGCCAGCCTCATGGCCCTTTGTCCAGATGTCAGTTGGGAGGGATTCCAGTGGCCTATGCTCGAAGACCTGCTAGTGGATGACTCGCACTACCAATGGCTCAACTACATGCAGAACCGCCCGGACTGGGACGGACACGCCTTTGGTCCACGGTTGGTGGGCCCATTGGAGCGCAACGCCATTGCTATGAGCGGCCTTCAGCAGCCCGGAGCGGCTGCTGCTGCAAAAGCCTTACCGCCTATGATCCCCTTTGGCGTAGGGGAGGAGCGACATTTTGAACTCGCCCTTGAGTTGCAGCAGAGACCCACCCCATTTGAAACTATGGGTGTTGTCGATGATGACTTGATCTTTGCCGCATCTGGCTATGCAGCCCAGGGAGTGGGCCTGCGTGAGGTGAGGAGACGTACAGGCCGTTGGCTCCAAGAACTGAGCCGTCGAATGTGGCCCATCACATACCACCTCCAAACTTATCAGCCACCACCTGTTCGATCAGCTACTCAAGGGCGCCACATCGCCCTGATTGGGCTTGTCATGCTGATTACCGGATGGCCAGACACTACGTTCGTGGCTAACCTGATATATGGTTTCCCTGCCGTGGGCTTTTCCCCGCATGTGCCAGTCTACAAGGTTCAACCAGCTCACTACATCCCGGACGCCTCCATCTACCAGGACGCCCTGCCAGAGGCTGCCCGCATCATTCAAAGCCTCCGTCCAGGTGAACACGACACGGCTATTGTCCAGGCGGGTGAGGAGGACCAAGCCAAAGGCTTTTGTGGCCCCCCAATGACATGGGCCCAACTATGCCAGGAACTCCCCCAATTCAGGCTGATCCGGAGGTTTTGTATACAACAACCCTCGGGTAAGCTGCGAGTCATAGATGACGCTGCAGACGGAGGGCAGAGCGCACTCAGCTCGGATGCGAACAAGTTGGATCTATGTACGAGCATTCAACCTGGCCTTCATGTTCAATTGCTCTGGCAGGCAGCCTCCTCTTCGGCCCACGTGTCTGAGTTGTTGCAAGCTGGTATTTGGTCCGGGGGCGAAGACCTACCCAACGCTTACCGCTATGTCCCCATGAAGCCGACACATAGCAACATGGCCGTGGTGGCGTACTACGACCACCACGTTGGTGGTCCCCGTTTTCGGCAATACTACGGTTCTCTGTTCGGGTTACCAAATGCTGTGTGTTCGTTCAATCGATTTCCCCGGTTCTTTCAAGCTGCCTGCCGCCGCCTGGCCTATTGTATGACCAGTATGTACTTTGATGACTTGACAATCCAGGACTTTGGTATTATGGGCGGCACTGGCCAGGCATTCGTCAATGAACTCGCACGATGCCTTGGCTCACCCTTCCAAACAGAGAAACATCAGTCCTTGGCGGCCCAGTCTGATTTTCTGGGGCTGATCCACGACGTGGCAGCCTGCCACCAGGGTGCTCCTGTCAAGTTCTGGGTCCGGGACCGATTGCTCACCAAGGTCACCGACATCATGGAGGAGGCCACTCAGACGCGTCGCCTCCCTCCGGGACTGGCGGCCAAGCTTTTTGGCTGCCTGGGATTCTTGACGACGGGATGCTTCGGCAAGCTCGGCCGGTCGGGCCTCCATAGCATCAAGGAAAGACAATACTCCTCGCAAGTCGTGATGACACCGAAGATTGAACAGTCCTTTGCTAGAATTCGAGCGCTACTTCAGTTGAAGCCTGAGAGAGAATTACCGCTCAATCCAGTACGGCAACACCGGTACTTGGCGGCATCCGATGCAGCGCAAGATAGGCCCCGCGAGGGTTCTGCGGGAGTCTTGTTTATTGACCCCCGTGGTAGCCGAAGGGCCTATGTCGTCCATATCAGCCCAAAGATCTTCACGGTGTGGTCCCATCATGATGCCAAGATTGCACAGCTTGAGCTCTTGACAGTCTACATGGGCCTGGCATATAATGCCTCATCAGTTCGCGGAATGCATGGTATATGGTTTGTTGACAATATCGCTGCCCTCATGGCTCTCATACGAGGCCGTAGCAACAACGATGAGCTGGATTCTATGGCCGGGGCCATCCATGGCCTCCTGTTTGCACTCCGTAGTGCATGCTATTTTGAATGGGTCCAG